CCTTTTGTTTCCAAGCCACCCCAGTTTTGGGGATTCTTTCTTATCTCTCGTTTGTTTCGGTGCATCTCGGGATGCGCCGATTAAATTACATTTTCGGCTTCTTTGGCGCCATCCTTTTCTTTGAGCATCCCATTTCTGGGGATTTTCGATTTTTCTTTGTCGTATTAGTTTTCCGCGCATTCAAAAAGATGCGCGGATTGAATTGCGAGCCGGCTTGTTTCTTTAAGTTTCGATTTTTCAAGGGAATTGTCGAAATAATTTCGTACAAATGGCAGTGCATAAAGCTCAGCTGTTGAAATACACTTTTTGATTAATTTTTTTCTGATTTTTACCTTAAGAAAATTTTTTGTGGAACCAAATAAACGTTTTTCCCTTATTTCTTAAGGGAAAGACTCCCTCGGTTAACATTTTTTTTCAGTTAATGTTTTTGCCCCTGCACAAACTAAAAACGTTAACCGAGTTTGGGAGCGTTAACAAGGGGGATTTTCCTTTTTGAGATCCGGAACGTTAACTTAAAAAACTTTAACCTGACGGGACGTTAACCGGGGGTTGACTGTATTTGGTACTTTGTGGCTGCCATTCTCCAGTTTGGCTTCCATCAGAGTTTGTGCCTTGCTGCTGGACAATTTGATCCATTGGATTTGGATCCATCACCTGATGAGCAGCAGATGTTGCATAACCCTGACATCCACGGAAATTTTAAACCTGGAAAAAACTTAAGTGAGTCCTGCTTGTCAGGGTTTGAAAGAGAAATCATGCATTTGAAGAACTTCCTGTAGATTTGTAGCAACTTAGATTCATTTTCTGGAGTTTAAATTTTAAATTTCCAGAATCAAATGCTTTAGATTGGGATTATGCAGTAGATACAAGTACAGTAAAATCTATATTGTGGTTGAGAAAAATCAATTCTTCTTCAATCAAGTTGCATATATGCAACAATGATTAATATTGTCAAATTGAAATACTGCATGTTTATCGTGACTGGTGAGGCTCTTCAGGGAATATGGGTGGATTTCCAATCATCAAAATTCAGGACCAGAAGGTAAAAATTCCTGTAGAAAGCATTTTGTTGAAAAGAACCCACATATCATTCAGAGAGAACCCTTAAAGACCAAATAATATTTTTAAAAAGGAAATACCACATTCACTCAAGCTGAGAGGGAAAAAGGGGTGCATGCTTCATAGATGGGTATAACTTTTTTAAAGTTTTGAAATTTAGATGTACTGTATATTTTACTTGATTATAATGAGAAATTTTGGACCAAGTTCAACAGAAAAGGTTATTTAAATGGAAACGTTGGAATACTTTATTAGTCAAATTAACGCTCAAGTAATTTCTACATTCAAATTGAAGAGTTTTGGTTTTTGAAATATTGTAGTTTTAGAGTCACTAAAAATGAGGTGCATGTCTTGATTAAGGATAGAATTTTATGAAAGTTTTCAAACAAAAACATTCCGCGTGTTTCTTACTTGAGGGTGTCTGGTACTTGATTGAATATTGTACTGTATGGTTGTAGACAAGATCATTGCTTTAGAGAAATTTTCTTCTGGAGTCATTTGGATAATAACCTGCCTCCTGAAAGCAAACATTTCTCTTATCATTTATTCCCTAACAAAATTCAGGATATACAATGACATGTAGAGTGTGATCATTTTTATTTGCATTCAGATATGTTAGGTACATTTTGTCTCACTCTATTCAGTAGATTGTTTGAGGTTCAAAGCCTTGTAAGGACCTATTGTTTGCATTGACAACCAGGTGGGAAATGCCAATGCTCAACTACTGAAAAAGTCTTTCCCACTACATCCAGAATTACTTGAAGATTAACAACGTTTCTGTTGGGTAATTGGGTGGGAAAACTCTTCATGATTCAATAGCATAAATATTTTTTCAAAATCATTCATGATTGCCGTAGAACAGTGAATTCATTACTTTTTGAGTTTTTGTACATGGCTTACCATTTCTTTAAAGGAACACAATTTTTCTTTGAGCAGAATTCTCTAGATTTCAAACCAATCAGAATTGGAGTCATTTGGATAATAACCTGCCTCCTGAAAGCAAACATTTCTCTTATCATTTATTCCCTAACAAAATTCAGGATATACAATGACATGTAGAGTGTGATCATTTTTATTTGCATTCAGATATGTTGGGTACATTTTGTCTCACTCTATTCAGTAGATTGTTTGAGGTTCAAAGCCTTGTAAGGACCTATTGTTTGCATTGACAACCAGGTGTGAAATGCCAACACTCACCTACTTCAAAAGGTTTTGCAACTACATCCAGAATTACTTGAAGATCAACAATGTTTCTGTTGGGTAAAAGGGTGGGAAAACTCATAATGATTCAATAGCATAAATAATTTTTTAAAATTCATTCATGATTGCCGTAGAACAGTGAATTCATTACTTTTTGAGTTTTTGTACATGGCTTACCATTTCTTTAAAGGAACACAATTTTTCTTTGAGCAGAATTCTCTAGATTTCAAACCAATCAGAATTGAAGAGTCCTGTAAGTTTTTCAACAGGACACAGTTCAAGGAACAGTTTATTTCTCTTTAATAAATGTCCAGTTTATAGAAAAATATGATTCAATACTGTATTCTGTTCTTGGATAAGAATAACGTGATTTGTTTCTGGCATTCACTAGGAATGCCGTTCTAAAATTCATTTTCGGCTGAAGAATACACAAGTTAAAAGGGAAATTTTTTCGCCATTAAAAAAGACGTTTTTGGGCCTTTTCAAATGTAATGTCCCAGTTTGATTTCATTGAAAATCAGGGTGGTTGATTCCCAAGTCCCACTTTAATTTTGAGAGTTTTGATATTTAAAAAAAGAAGTTATCCACCAGAATAAAATCTTTTCAAACCATTTTTTCTCTATACCGCAGCTCGCTAGATTGGTTTTCCTTTTCTATTTCAACTATTTTCCTAACGACAACTTTTCGAGTTGTTTCCTAAATTTCAGAATAATTTCTAATTTTTAAAATACTGTATTTTCAATAAAAGAGAATGTCATAAAGAAAACATTTTAATAATGGCCCTATTTAACTATCAAGAGCAGAAACTTGTATACTAACCTCGTATATTTGCAAAATAAATCTAGAATACTTCACAAAGATAATAAAAAATGCTTTTCACACAACTATGTGAATACTATGTACTCATTGAATCAAAAACAAAATTATTAATATTGCATGGTAAAATGTTTCTTTTTTAACGGAACTGTTCCAAGACAACGGATGCTTCTCTATATACTAACTTGGTATGCAACCCACTTTCTTCAACTAATCCTTTTTTAATTTTCTGCATATCATTAAAGCAAGCTGCAAAGAAGAATCTTCCATTACTATTAAAAACTGGTTTTACTACCGGTACTCATAAGCATCAGCAGGTCATCCTAATTTTTCTTCTGCTTCTAGCAATTAAATAGAAATTGAAAGAATGACCCACAAAACGAGTAACGGGAAAAACTGGGTTAGAAAAAATTAATGAGAGATTTTTCTCTCAGCATGAGTAAAACCCTGTGTGTGTCTGAGTCCGATTATCAGTTCAGTGGCTGACGATGGTTCTTCATCATCATGCATGATCCCGTCGGCGGTTGAGGAAAATTAGTTGAACACCCAATTGTTCAGTGCTTCATCTGTTATTGTTTTCCCCAAAAACCCTCCTTCACTGAAATGAGAGTTGAGTCTCAACAAGGACAAGTTCCCGGATTGCCCAAGTGTCGAATATACTTCCATAGGAGAGGTTACTCCTCATTGTTTTTCAATACTTCTTCTCAGAATATGGATTTCAAGGCAGTCAGTCTCTGGGCAGACCTCTTTGGTTTTTGTGGCATGGATGATGTGGATTCAGATCATGTGTCAGGGGCTCTGAATTATAAGTGCATTATTCAGTTGAACCTGGGTAACTCACTGCTGGAACCTCCCCAAGTGGAATACCGCATCCCTACGTCGATTTTTTTTCAAGTTCCTGTCTGAATTCTTTTAAAACATTGCATTCCAAAAGCTCCTGAACTGGAAGGCTTTCCCGCTCAAACATCAGAAACGTGAATTTTCTGGAGGCTTTTTGGCAAAAAAAAATTCAACTCATTAGGTTTTGCAAGGAAGTGAAAGATTAATTGGGACAATGAAACATTGCATGCAATGTTCATCATCCAGCCAACTCATTCAGAAAGCTATTTAAGGCCCAGAATATCACCAATTACAATTTTCCTATGATTCCTTCTGCTCCCCTTACCCCTCACAAATGCTTGTTTATACCTAAATCGATATTTTAAAGACACAGATTTTATTTATATATTTTTCAATCCTTTCAAGTGTAAATATAGACGCAATGTTGCATATCATGATGTCGACCAGGTCATATTCAGTATTTATGGATCAGGTATATGCTACAGTAAATCTTTGATGCCAATTTTTATTTTATTTCAGAAGATCCCAATGATGCTTCTTCATGTGCAATTCGCCGCGATTCTTTCAGCAATTTGGGCAGTGACTGGTTTTCCTTCACATTCGGATGAGGCGAAACCGCATTTGAAGCAACTAAGCGTTGAAGCATTACAAGAGTACATTGACTCGTATGCTGAAGAGCTGCGCATCAAATGGAACCAGCAGGTCATCGCGGGGTGGGCATACAGCACGAATATAACGGACTTCAACTCCGCCAGAAGGGTTGGAATACATTTTCATTTTCTTCAAGATAATGATAAAATTTTGTTACTGAAATCGCCCACAATAATTTGATTCATATTGTACAGCAGCAAAATGTAAATAGACAGCGGTTCTGAAAAAGAAAATTTAAAATTAGCGTCTGCTCATTTAAAAAAAAATATACAGTTAAAAGACATGATCGAGGCTATGTATATAATAAACCTTGAGTTATATTGTGTAAGAGTGCTGTTTTCTCGAAGATTTTCATTCGGCCATACAACCATAGAGGTGAACATATAAGTAAACTAAACTGTACAGTATTTAGTGCATTATATAAAATACAGGTTAACTCCTATCTAGAAAAATCTCATCTACAGCAATTGTCTCTGTACAGTATACCATAATATAATACAGTATACCCCGTCAGGCGGGGTTTCAAAACTTCAGAATAATTTTATCACATCAATTTTTAAATTCATAAACATTTCATTTTGAACACATCTGATTATTTCTCTGATAGTACGCTAACTTTAGTACAATCGTATTAAACTCGCACTTGTAATTCTTCGCCATTCAAGATTGTATGCTGGCTTTCCTGTATAATGGTCCCTCTCATTTGTTTTCAGCATAAAAGTTCCACTTATCTTATAAATACAGTACTTACACAAATGGGCTCTCGATACAGCGAAATTTAAGGGAAGATGAACAAATTGTTTTAGAGAGAATTTGATTGCAGAGAACTGCCCTCTATAATGTCTATATACCCCGATTCTATACAATGGGTATAGAGATCCTTGTGTAAAAAAAATATTATGCAGTTGATCTAGACAATACTGTCGTATAAAAGGAGTCTACCTACCTATAATATAGGTATATATATACTGTATATATACAGTACAGTACCTGCATTATATATTTAAACATATACTTTTGTTTTATCTATTAATAATGTCATCAGGTGAATGCGACGCTTGAAGTTTCAAGTTGGGCAAGGGCTCAATGGAAAGAAAATATTTCCCAATTTGACCTGTCTCAGCTTCACGAATCTGCTGAACACGAAAGACTATCCCGACTTTTCAAGGCTGTCGAAGTCCTTGGATTTGCTGCTTTGGATGATGACAAACTGGCTCAAGTGAGTTGTGCTACATAAAATCTAACTTTTCTCATTTCTAGACCAAAATAATATTTTTTGCAGAGGACTAACATTAAGTCAGACATGACTTCCATCTACAGTTCTGCCAAAATATGCCCCTTTGACAAGCAAAATTGTGACCTGAAGAAGGATACAGCCTGGTCTCTTGATCCAGGTCAGTGAAAATTACCTCAAAATATGTATTCAAAGGCACTTACAGTATTTAATTTCCTGCTTCGTGATTATTTTTTCATTAGTGATTCACCTACGCATTTCACGGAGTATACACTGAAGTCTCATCGTCACAACAGATCTGTTAAAAGGCTTAAAACTGGCAAAAAGGCTTCGTTGTGAAGATAAATTCGTTGTAAATCAATCTAAATATCATTATTGCTATAGGGCAGCCGGGCAGGGACCCGAAACATGACTTCATTATAAGCCATAATGCGTTACGACGTGATTCTACTTCATTCAATACTGAAATACAGTACTGTACCTCATATAAAGAAATTTACGGGTCTGAAAGGAACGAAAATTAGGAACACAGCAGGTGATTTATTTTAAAAATTCCGAAGAACTTTATCAAATGAAGCATTAAATATCACTTTCTTCGGAAGACTCCGGTTATTGTCAACTTCAAAAAAGCCTCGCTAGTTAATTAAGGCAAGAATATTCATTATTAATACGCGTGCGATGGGAAATCATTGTGATTCACACATTTCACTCTTTTTTTTGTGCAGTATATAAGCACTGTACAGTAAATTATTTATCGCAATTGACTATCATAACATACTGTATTTCTTGATGGATGAATTATTAATTATTGCGAAACTTTTGATTTAATAATATATTAATCATATATGCGATAAATAAGAGCTCGTTTCATATAGTATATACCATGCACAAGAATATTCAATTCAATTTTTCATCTCCTGCTTTTGAATTCACAGAGTTAAATGAACTTTTCCGAGTTCAACCGGAAAAAGAAAACTTCGAAAAGTTGGCGTATGTTTGGGCCAAATGGAGAGATGCGTCTGGAAAGCTTATTAGACAGAAGTTCTTGGATTTCGTCCGTCTGAGTAATGAGGCTGCAATTGCCAACAGTAAGTTCATTTACAATTCCCGAACTTTTAATTTCCACAATAAGACAATCATATAATCAATGAATACGGATTTCATCTTCTCATCCATTTGTTCTTTGAGGCTCTACTTTCATAGATCCCCAAGCGTTCTAATTGATATCTCATATCTTCAACTCAACTGAGCAAAGATGATGACCCCTTCCGCTGAACAAATATGCTTTATCAAAACAAGGATCTCTCATCTGTGTATCTCTATTAACCCCTTCGAAATTCCAACATCACTTCTTGGTTTCGTTTCGCAGAAAATAGCATGATCAAAAATGCAGGTGACTTATGGCTAAGAGCCTATGAATCCCCGACATTCAGAGAAGAAATGGGAAGAATGTACGAAGAACTCAAGCCCTTCTACCAGGAATTGCATGCCTACGTAAGGCACAAACTCAGACAATTTTATGGAGAAGAGAAAATGAGTGCGACAGGACCAATTCCTGCTCATGTTCTGGGTATGTATATATACATCGTATTGCTTGTGTAGACAGAATCTTCTGCAAGAAGGGCGTGATATTTGCCTGCCTTTTGTTGGAAAATCCTTCGTAAACTGGTGAAATATTGCTGGTATAGTCAACCACTTTTATACATAGAAAAATTCTTCCAATAAAAAGGCTTATTTCTCGATAATGTATCTAATCAATTTTAAAATTTAGGTGCATCGATTTAAAATGATCAGCTCAGAAAAATCGGGATAATTATTCGGATCAGAAAATTCAATTCAAGGCATGGAATGGGTTTAGTTTTGACCACATATCCGAATTCAAGAATGAGCAATATCACTGATCACATATCTCAAAATTTGCTATCTTGAGAATATGTTTCATAAATGCTTGATAAATTTCCTACCTGTCGAAATCAGGGAACATGTGGGCGCAGAACTGGGAATCGATATTCCCCGCAGTGTCCGAATTCAAGACAAAGTCTTTGGACGTCACGGACGAGATGTTGAAGGTGAGTCATCCAAGATTATGTATTTCCTGCCATATGTTTTTCATCCACACGTACGTGTTCCCGGTTATTCGTCCTTCGCAGCAAAATTACACTGTCCGCCGAATGTTCGAGATTTCCGACAAGTTCTTTGAAGACCTCGGGCTAATAAGTGTCAACGACGGAGCCGCTGATTTCTACGGATTATCCATGCTGGAGAGACCGGAAGACGGGCGTGAAGTTGTTTGTCATGCGTCCGCTTGGGATTTCTCCGCCAC